CTTTGAAAAATAAATCATTTTTATCTATTATAATTGCATAAAATAAAAAATTATAAATAAACTAGAATAAAATTATAAAATTGTAAGTAATGCACTATTCTTTTTCTAATACATATAAATATTGTCTTAACAGAGTTTTTTATTAATAAGTAAAAAAACAGAAATAATAAAATCCGAAACCAGTTATATTGATTTTCACAGATAAATTGCTACTTAATTATTGTATAATTTTGAATATCTTGCTCGAGTCACATGAAATGTTAATCCAAAACGATCATGCATAAGCAAATACGTAATATGATTTAATATAAAATACGTAAGCATGATTGAAAACAAATCGAAGTAAAATCATAATTTGAGAGATTCTAGTTTATTACAGTCTAAGTAACAGCAAAGCCGATTATATTCAAGATAAGTAGACTAGGACAGTTATTAAAGTGTCATCTAATTTATCACAACGTCAATTATAAATAGTACAGTAAAATCAGTAACCTAAATTTCTCTGCGTTATCATTTTGTCTTTTATTAGTCTAAGTACTTAATCTATTTGCGTTTCATATTTGTGAATCCTCACCTTGCTGAATTAATGTTGCATACAAATCTGATATAAAGTTTCACAAACAGTTTTTTTTAAGTGGGACGTATTGCAAAGTAAAATTTGTAAAATGAGTGTCATAGTCTCAGGCCCATATTCCGAATTCTTTCTTATCGATAAAAGTGTCTATAAAAGACTTTTTCAGCCAATAAGAATTCTTTAAAACCAATGTTCGTGTCACTTTTGTCGATAAAAAAAAGATTCAGAATATAGACTGTTATTTTTTCTTAAGTGCTATTTTTGGGGAAAAAACGAAAAGAATATTATTAAACTACTTAAGAACGGCATTATTTATGAATAGGAAACTTTCAATTTTATATATAAGTCGCATTACTTACGGATCACTATTCTAATGTATGTCAGCATTCTAAGATTCTGCGTATGCACTACACACTAAACACAATTGAGTCACAGAGTATTTTACGACAAGTAAACATAAAATGCAATTCTTGATGGCAACGTCTCCATCAGTGTCTGTTTGTTCACTGAATGCAGCCGCAACTCCCCATTCGTGTTCGGGCAGCCTACAAATTCTTCGATAGATGATAACACCACTCAGGCCGCTAGATAAAGACCAAGATCAACTCAAGTGACCTATTATTTGTTATGGTTTCGTGGGAGGATCCACATTTGCTATCTTGTTGCACATCGAAGATCACGGGTGTACCGGATGGGGAATAAACACGTGTAACGGAAACGTCCCGTTATGTTTCCTTCCCATCCTTACACGATTCACTCTGGTCTCTATAATCTTACAAGATTGTGCTTGCGAAGCACTATACATTTAATTTCTGTGACATTAGTGACTGTCTCAACTATGTTTATTCTTTATATGCAGAAGCGTGAAAGTCAAACTATAAACCGAAAATTAGTCTTTTTATTATTATCTATTTTCTTGTCGAGAAAATCTACAAAATACGTTTAAATCCGATATATATTTTAAATATACTTACTCCTTTTTATTAATATTTTATAATTAATATTATTAATTAATGGACAAATCTAAATTAATAATCTGCACTTAATATAATATCTGTACTAATTATTTTTTATAAATATAACAATTGGCGAGGAGTGGATGGGGACGAGATATTTTATATCAAGCCGCAATATTATCTAATCTAAAATATACATAAAATTCTTTTATAACTAAATTTCTAACCAATATACAAATTAGTTAATTGGCATTGGCATAATTAATTTAACTATAAATTCTATCTCGCCACTATAAAATTTATGAAGATGTTCTGCGATTCTTCCTAATATCGTGTTAACCCTCCTATCAGACGAGAACATAGGTCATGCGTCTGATTATTGAGTGTTACAATTTTATCAAGTTTAATACCATATTAATATGTAAAACGTGTTAACTTGGGAACATGCAGACTTAATTTTAATAAGTGCATTTAAATTATTTTTAAATGATTTAAAAAATTAAATTTTGTATATTTATTAATGGAAATTAATGGGCGTTAGTCAAAAATATCCGGATAATAAAAATAATAATAATAAACAACGATAATTGTATTCTGTGTTTGCTCTCGTTCTTCTCTTTTTCAATATATTATTTTTGTTATATTTTAATATAAAATAAACTGATTAAATGTTAATATTGTTTATTTCATTTGATCTCATGTTTATTGTTTATTGTTTCACTTTATGTATATTATTTATTAAAGTCAATGTATTTATATAATATTATATACTTTTTAAATTTCTGTAGAACCAGAAGGACACAAGTTACAATTTTGTAAATCTAATGATCAGTGTTGACATCATTTGCTTCTCATTATGTTTAAAAATTAGTTGATATTATTTAAAGAAAACTTAAAGAATTTAAAGAAAAACTTTTTTATATACATACTTTTAAAATGCCAGTGTATAACTGATCATGAAATAATTTATTGAGTTTATTTTATTCAATTTATTGACGTAATTAAGAATGCCCGTAAAAAATTGTTCGTATATAATAATATATGGAAATATACGGTGTCCTGCACAGCGGATGTATACTAGAAATCACTGATGCCTTCTCACTGAATTTGTGCATATATCAACACATTTATACATTTTGCATATCCATACATTGAGGAAAATGTCTATGTGTTCTACATGTGTCCAAATTCATATGGGAAGGCATCAATGATTTCTAGTCTACATACTTGTAGATTTTGCGATCGAAATGGAAACTTATGTACCATTTTGTAAATTTCGCAATAGTTATTGAGTAATTAATTAAAACGCGAATGAGCACGTAGAAAGCCGGGCTCGTTAAGCATGTAAAATTATATATAATTGTCAATTACATTTATCTTAAATATGATTATCTCTAATTATACATAATTATGTATTGACAAATTCCGTATATAATTTTGTATAATTACATGCAACCATTTATGTATAATTATATATGAAAAATTCATTAACGTGCAACCTAATTAGGTTGTGTATTTCACAAGCTTACTCCGAGAAAAGAGACGAATATCTGAGTATTTATCAAAGCCGTGTGAAAGAAAAACTTGCAAAATGCTGTGTAATTGTCTTATAAAATCAGTCAGTAAGTCTGTCGGAGAAAATATTACTTAATTATAATTGCTTTACGATATTGCTATTTCATCATATATCAAACACAGGATACTCTCGCAATGTGCTCATCCTGTGTCCACGAGAGAAACGTGAAATATTCTCGTAATCAGGTTCAACAACAAGAATGTATTTCGTAGAAAATATACGGGTTTCATAATAAATACTTTGTCATGTCTTTCTACGATAAATTAATTTACACGCAATATATTTCTTTAGGAGAGGGAGAGAGAGAGAGAGAGAGAGAGAGAGAGAGAGAGAGAGAGAGAGAGAGAGAGAGAGAGAGAGAGAGAGAAGATTTAAGAAGACTTTCTTTCTTTGTCTTACACCATCGTGAAAGAAAAAAATCGTGCCTGCGCAGTACTACACAGGCGTGATTCTCCCTTGTCACGATGTTGAGACAGAGAAAGAAAGTCGTCTTAAATCTTCTCTGTCTCTCTCTTCACAAGCCTCAGCTTATTCAATGAGACGCTCAGCCTATATTTACTATGTCTATGGTCATAATGGTAAAGTAGCAACGAATGAACATAAATCACAATGAAAATAAAAGAAAATTGTTTTTTAATATTTTTGAATATTAAAAATAAGCAAGACTACTCACCTCGGATAACAATTTTGATACCGAAAAATCTTAAATCTCTTGCTAAACCGCATTTGCTGCTACACGCACAGGACAGGACACGTACTAATCTAAGTGTGGTTACATGCTACACACGGTTCTTATATAAAAGAGAAAAACAGCAATATCATTTCTCCCTCAAAATACAAAGCAGTCACTGCCTAACTAACCCATTGTTTTTTACTTGACCTTACTTGACATTAATGTTACTACCGAATCAAGAATATATTTTAATGGCTAACATTTCCGTTACAATTTGCATATGTGGTATTTAGAAATTTTGTGTAATAAAATGCGGTGAACGCTATTGATGATCGACAATTTGCTAATACATAATAGAATAGATTCTAGAAATAAATAATTAACAAACTCTTTGTTACGATTTTATTTTAGATATTTAGATAGATTTACTTAAAATTATTTTTGTTACTGAAGTAAATATCTATTCTATTTAAATAAAAAATATTAAATTTCAAGTAAATCTATTAATTATATTAAGTAAATTACTTTAAATCATGACATTTTCTACATTCAAATAAAGTTTTCATGAGATACAGAATACTATTTATTAAATGAAATAATTGTTTTTGTTAAATAAGAAATAAAATTTTCTTCGCTGTGAAAATTACATCTTAGTAAACATTTTATAGAATTCAAAAGCTGTTTTGCAACTGTTGTAAAATTCGTGAATCTGATTGGCGTATTCTCCTAATCTTGAATGAATTGAAGAACATACGCCAATTAGATTCGTGAATTTTACAACAGTTGCAAAGCAGCTTTTTCTGCTAATGCAGTACGTTTATATTAACATTCTGGTCGTGAGTCACTTTTCTATATCGTTTTATTCTGTTGATAATTTCATTTAATTTAATTCAATATGCGATTAATAAGTGAAATTTATTTGTGTATTTTTCTGGTCTGCCGCCACTTATCAAAACCCGGAATTTGCTGGTCAAATGTCAAAAAAAATGCAAGCATCATAAATCTTTAATTAAGTGCAATCTCATACTGAGTTGTTTAATTGTGTCGCTCTTGCTAATTCAGGTTAGCTTATTTAATAATTATTTAAAACTTTACAAAATTATTCTGCTTTTGCATATTATACGTGGCTAATAATTTTTGGCTAATAATATTTATAATTAAGATAATCTGGCTAGTAATATTTTTATTAAAAATTTATTAAGAAGTATATAAGACGAGAACATGGAACGTAATAAGGAAGCCGCATTAAACCGCAATAAGATAGTTTCGGCCGAGGCTATCAATGCTGTCGACAATATTACGAAAGATGTGATAGCCAAAGACAATGAGCCGAGTAGCGACGAGTTCGATGAGGATTTGGAGGAAGAATATCGGAACTTGAGCAATATGCTCGATTTACCGAATGATACTTATTCTCTTACTAAAATTACCACTGAATTACCTGCGTATGTCAAGTACAGCGTCCGTTCTGGTCTGATTCATTTAAACATGCCACATTTCTCACCGTTATCCAGAGGTTATCAGGTAATTACAATCCCAATTTGCGTACTCTTTCTATCCTCTTCTTAATAGCTTTTCATGTTTAAGCAACTTGCAAATCGTTTGCGAAGCACTTTCGCATTGTACTCTATGTGTTTTTAAAGCGCAAATTAATTTAATGATTGAATCAACAGTTTAAAACAATTGTTTTTTTTTAATACAAATATTATTAAACGTTGCTTTGCAGTTTCTCATTTCGCAGCTCTAATAACAGGGTGGCGCTATAGCGATCGCAGCTTTTGCCACGACCGCGATTCACAAATCTCGCTGTTGGAACGAGGCGGTGATCGATCAAATCGTCGAGGACGGCGACACTTTTTATTGCGAGTCCTACAGAGACGTGGACACGGACGATCGCCGGACATTGACCATCCTCGACTTGAAAAGGACTCTCCTCCTTCAGAAAAAGTTTAATGTAAAAGTCAAGATCGAGGATCCGGCGTATGCCGGAAAGTTCCGTTCGCGAAATCCGACGGAGCTTCATCTGGTGAAGGCGTTGGAGCTGTTTTTCGCGCGACACAACGCCGGGATTCTAACGTCGCCGGTGCTCAATATAGCGATCTGGAGAGACTCGAAGTACTACAGTATATTTGATGGTCAGGCGCGACGAGAAAGCGGCGAGCCGGCAGCCGATGGGGTCAGCGGATCGGCCAAGCTGTTTCTCGTCAAGGACTTGATAGGGCTACTGTTCATCATCCTCGAGAAGAGTAATGTGCAAAACGAGCCTTTCGTAATTTACGCGATATGTATCAGCGACGTCGGGACCGTTTATCCAGAAGATCCGGAGGAGGCCACGACGATACTCGGCAAGGCGCGAAGAAGACCGAGCGGCTATAAAATGTATCAGCGACACCGAGCCGTGATACAAGGATCTTGTCATCTGATGCATCCTGCCATACCGGAAGCTCTGCGAGGCAGGGGACACCTGATCGTAGCCGTGGCGGCCTTGATATATTCCCGACTGATTAGTGCGAACAAATGGACGGCCGCTTTGCTCGATCTGATCATCAATCAGTCCAACATCTACCTGATCGATCTAGCCAGAGCTCTGGAGAAGAAGCTCAACGACGAGTTCGAGCTTCGGCTGGATGACTTGATGAGCGACGTTATCGTTGGGGTGTATTCCGCCAAGATAAAGGTAGATGCGAATATAATACCTAGCCAAACGCAGAAGAGTAAGATGACCATTGACAGCGGCATGCAGGAGTTCTTCGAGACGCAGGAAATCGGATTGCTTGAGATCAAGAAGACCTTTTACGCGATTTGGAAGGATGATAATGCATATTACTTTTTCGATCCGTTTGCTTGCGACGGCGAGGGTTTCAGAATTGATTCTAGGGAACCCACGACGGCTGCCACCACGACAGATTCCGCCGAAGAAGCTGCTTGCGTGACCATGAATAGCACTATAAACGAAATAGTGGAGACGATACTGGAAAATACCGGTAATGAGGAAGGCGATCCTTTCTTCATACACGGAGTCAAGATACTTTATGTCAAGACTGGAGTAACGCCAGGTGGTCCGCTCGAAAAAGTGATTTATCGAGAGAGTGGAACAAGCCGTAGACCGCGGGCCCCGTCGCCACCGGCACCGGTGGATATAACGAAAGCCGGTCCAATCGACGCGACGCCACGCTCACGACCAGAATCATGTAAATTCGCAGAAGTGTCTATTCAGTATCCAGAAATTATGCGGAACGCAGCACAGTATATGACAACGGTGGAACCGGTATATATATTTGCGCCAGAGAGAGATAAGAAAACAAAGAAAGGAGACACAGAAAAGTATTATAATATGAACAACGAAAAATACGAGATATTTTTTCAAAGACATATCAGGGGTTATAAGATGATAAACGCTCATCGTTTTTTCGTTCGCGGAACCAGGACTTGTTTGAACGATATGTATCATCCGCGATCACAAGGTAAACAAGGATTAATAATCGCCTTAATCGCGTTGGCGTACAGGAAATTAAAGGAGCCGGCCCACTGGCGGAGCATAGACATAGATCAACTTATTGATTTCGCCAACAAGTCTTACGAACAAGTTATAATGTGGATCAAAGAAGGTCGACCGGAAATAAAGGAAGTGGAGGACGAAGGGGAGGAAGAGGAGGAGGAGGAGGAGGGGGACGAGGAGGAGGAGGAGGAGGAGGAAGAGGAGGAGGAGGAAGAGGAGGAGGAGGAGGAGGAGGAAGAGGAGGAGGAAGAGGAGGAGGAGGAAGAAGAAAAAATCGTTTCGAAAGTAACACGCGTTCCAAGTCATTTGGATATTTCGTTTTTACCTCCCAAGTTGAAACTAGCTGAGAACGACGTGTTTTTCAAGACGAGTATGAATGTTATCGAAGGCGACGCGAATCCCTTGGCTAATCTCGCGGAGGCCCTCGAGTGTTACTTCGAACGATATTCCGAAGTGATATTGGAAAACAAGAGATTGATGTACGCCATTTGGAAGGAGGACGGAAATTTTTTTCTGTTTAATCCTTACGGTGGTGATGCGCAGGGATGGCGTCTCTGGAGTTACACAGCTACTTTTACCGTAACGGATAGTCTCAACGAACTGGTCGATCTTCTTTACGGCGTCTTAGAGTACAACGATCCGCGTTTCTCACTTCATTTCGTAGCTCTGGATGCAATAGAACCGGGAAAGTACAAGTCACCCACGGAAATTGAAATTCCAGATGAGAGGATAAAAAAGAAGTTCCAAACAAAGTTTTTACCGATCACTGATGACGATTTATTGCAACTCGAGAAGAAAGAGTCGGATGTTGCCGAAGAGATTGTTGATAAAGAGGAAGGGGAAGAAGAGGAAGAAGATGAAGAGGAAGAAGAGGAAGAGGAGGAAGAGGAGGAGGAAGAGGAAGAGGAGGAGGAAGAGGAAGAGGAGGAGAAAGAGGAAGAGGAGGAGGAAGAGGAAGAGAAAGAGGGGGAGGAAGACAAGGAAGAGACAGAGGAAGAAGATGAACTAGACGAAAGTGACTTAAAAGATAAAGATCCTGTGCTGATACTCGAGGAATCTGTGCAGTCGGACGCACCTCACCGCTTAAACTTGGCTCTCTTGACCTCTACAGTAAAAATCCAAGATCCGATTGAGGAAGAGTTAAATGGCTTGCATGAGGAGGTAATAATGGAAAAGATGAAGTACGACCATCCACCACCGTATGTGATGCCGTCGAAGAGAACGTTCCGCATTTTGCTGGAAGCAAAGTTGGCGAACAGGTCGATCCCGTCGCTCGTATCGAGATTTTCGATCGATTCACGACTGGAAATCAAGAAGGGTGACGTCCCCATGGAAACTACACCAACTGCGATCGTGCCGTTGTTTCAAGACACGAAACCTTCCAAGATTATCAAGCTATCTTTCGGAAGGTACTTGTACTCAAGATTGCCACCGATCCGTATGGTGCCTCTGAGAGCTATCGATGAGGCTTACATCCAGGAAGAAATCGATAAAGCGGTCGACGAAAGTTATCTTGAACGAAGAAAGGAGGAAAAGGAAGAAGACGAAATATTAGAGAAATTACCGATAGCGTCTTCTGCTGCGAGACCAGAACTGATACCACTTGGACCAATAATTAAGACCCCCGCTTTGGCGATAAAGTGCCTGACAGGTCTTCTTGCTGAACGGAAGCGAAAGGCGGAAGAAATAATGCCTACTGTCAAAGAAAACGGGCTCCGCGATGGGGAAAAGCTGTTATTTAAATCAATGTATCCAAACTTTCGCTCTGATCTACAGGTTAACGCATTTTTAATAATTATAAAAATATAATGATAGAAAATACACTATACAATGTAGTCCAAGGATATGAAAAAGATTGCAAAATGATTACATTTTGACGTGATAAGTATCTATACTTTAGTACTTATCATATTTTTACAGAAGTTTATTTTAATATAAGTTTTCTTTGCATTCAGCCACCGGTTGAAAAAGTTGATGTTAAAACGAAAGGGATGAAGAAAATGATAACCGGTGCAAAAGATTTCGAGAAAACAGTAGAGATTTCGTCACCGGAAGTTGGTTTCGAAGTAATTTTACAATACAACGGAATATATCATAAGCATTCAATTCAATATCGAGTTTCGTAAATTAATTAATATCCGTCTTTCCATTAGCGTTTGTGTAATTGTAAAATAAGTAATACTTGATAAGCAAACTATTCAGCGCGCAATTTATCTGAATATTATTTCAAGGTTACAGATGGAGACGTGGAAATAATACGAGGCCATGACAGTTTGCTGGATCGCACAAGAATTGACTCTTCTTACCTTAAACCTTGCTACATTGCGGCTATACTATTCATTTTAGCAAAAGCCACGCAGGATATAGATCACTTCAGCAATAACACGCTGGATACATTGCTTGCTTTTACCGAAATGTTCAATGAAAAAGTCGGTAAATTACGATACAATGGGTACAGAACATTTAACAAAATATTCATCTTTGGCACACGATTTAACGTTATTCTGAAAGAAATCACTCGCGCCGACCTCAAGTGTTCTCCATCCGACGAGCTCGATGCTGTTGTCAGTAAATTTTTAGAAAAACATGAAACCGGTATATTGGTGCTGAGAAATGGCGCCTACGTAATTTGCACGGCGAACGATAAATATTACGTTTTCGATCCTTATCCCTGCGACGAGAAGGGCAGGGCCAGTGAGAAGGGCTACTGCTGCCTCATGAAATTCCGCGATTTCAAGTCCATGCTCGACAGAATTAAAGAAAACGCCGGCGAAGCTGCTGGAGAACCTTTTTATCTCCACACCGTAATTGCTCACATGGAAATGAACGGACGTAAACGTAGACGAAAGAGAGGTATGAAGCGTCGCGCGAAGGTAGAAGAGCTGGCGAAAGAGACGACGCTTAGCGAAGTAAAGCGGGACGTGACAACGCCAACAACAGTCAAATCCGAAACGTCTCTGATGGAATTAGCCGAGTGGGCTACTTCGGATACAGAATTGGATTTCCATCGTGACGCCACGGTCGTCGGTTTCACACCGTTACAGCACCACGAGGCCTCGATGCTCGAGGCGATTGTCTTGGAGAACGACATTACGACGCCTACATTGGCACCGTTCGAGCAACCGTCAGAGATCGAAAGTGAGAGTCGCGAGGAGACGATAATCGACAGAAAAATACCGCCCGAGCGGATATTTAATAACCACTCGTCCATCGAAATCCCCATCGATCTCTGTATAATGGCATGGTCATTGATTCACGATCCCGCGTATTGGTCGGAACGCACGCTTGTCGGCTTGACCGAAGCTGCCGCCGATTACGCCTTCGACAGCATGTTGGCGAGCGAGGACACTTCCGTGAGCGAGATGAACGATGCGGTGTTGCAACAATTCGAAATAGAGAATTATGCGTTTCAAGTGGAATTCGCGCCGCTACATTACGGAATCCTGTACGCCACGGAGGGATGGAACCTCGCGACGACCCTGGAGAAGCTTTTCGAGACGATGAGCTATACCGGTGTGATCATCGTGTGTCGTAACGCTCACGTGGGCATCATGAATTGCGACAGGAACTACTTCGCCTGGTGGACGGTCAAGGGGACGAAGAGCCTGAGAATGATCACATCCAGCAATTTTGGCGAGTTTCTTAAGCTGATCGTCAAGGTGCTCAAACAGCCGGACAAGGTTGAATTCGTCGCAAGAGCGATCACTATATACTATAAAAAACTGACGCCAGATCACGGCGACATTAAAGGTCTTCATGAGCTGACGACTCAGTCTCTGCCAGAGATTCACCGGGAAGAGCCTTCGGAGTTTTACGATGTCCAAGCGATCTTCAAATCGATCGATCTCGTATCGAAACCGATCTTCACGCGCGGAACAGTAGCTCTTCGCGATCGCGACAGCCTGCTGGAACCGCGGGCGAAACGTTGTTATTTCGTCGCGTTACTGGCTGTCGTGGTAAAGAGGGACATCGTTCAGTCTCCGTTTCCCGGCATGATCGACCAGGTCCTCGAAGTGGCCGAGAGTCTGCACGCAAGATTCTCCGAACCAAAATTTCACGCACAACACATCTTACGAAATGTCCCACTGATGAACAGGCTCTTTGATCTTCGTGACTGTGCGTCACCCTTGGTCGCGTTAACAACCAATTCTCAGACCGGCAGAAACACTCTTTACGCGCAAGTGAGTGCGCCGACGATAAGGAAGAAAGTTATTCTTCCTATATCTTCTTTCTTTTATAAAAATGCAATTAATTATCGGGATTAGTAGTTTTAATCTACAATTTTACCTTGTATAATTTTTTGTCACAGCTATTAATTTTTCAAGATATTAATCAATACTTAATGTTAACTTTCAAACGTCTATATACAGTCTATAACGATAATCATTGGTTTAGGTGACACAGCATCTGAAACGTCACTTTAAGATGCACACGAGCGGTATACTGCACTTCACTAACTGCTGCTACGGCTTTTGGTACTCGAGAGTGACCAACTGCTACTACTATCTGGATCCTTATCAGTGCGATGCGAGAGGTAAAAAGACTTATGCCCACGGCAACGCCTGCCTGTGCATCTTCTCCTCCGTGCATCAAATGGTGAAGCACATGTGCCTCAATCAATTCGAAGGCACGACCGGATTTTTCCTCCATAGAATTCACGTGGATTCCATCGACGCGCTGCCGTCCGCGAAGTTCCACGAAGATCCAATGTGGGTCTATCTGGACTATCAATGGAACTTCACGCATTCGATTATGCAACCGCGTAAGAAAGCGAAGGACAGGTCGAACTCATCGAAGACCGAGCGGCGATTTTGGAACAACTATGCGGTCGAAGTGATCGATCTGATTTACTCGGTCTGGGGCACGATCGGCGCATACGATCGTCGATTCGGCGCACGAGCTGGAAAAAATCGCGCTGCCATATGCGTAGCCGTCCTGGCCATGCAGAATCTCTGTCACCCTTCGCGGTGGAGCCCGGCCGTCTTGGACTCGGCCGTCATCTGCGGAGATTCCTATTACACGGAGAGCCTGAAAGGTTCGATGCAGAAGAGGTCCGAGAACAGGTTCGGCTTGCGGACCTCCTTTAGGGTATTCCCGCACTCGTGGACCATAGATTTCGGCACGAGTGTATGCGGGATTCTGTACGGCGATAGGAATAAATTAACGTTAACTGGTGCGTTAGCGTTGGCTTTTGAGGGAGCTCGCAACGTCATCATCGAGTGCAACGGGATCGCCTTAGCGGCATTGATGGCTAAGGACGCTTATTACATCGCCGATCCCTGCTGGATCGGCCCGCCGTTGTTCACGAGAGAATGCGGCGCGATCTACGTTCTACGTTGCAAAAATATGAATGCTCTAATCTACGCGATCACGAAGATGCTCAATACTAATCAGAGACTTGGCGTACGCGTCACGCCGTTAAGCCTCTCGTTTGATCGGGAAGACTTCGATGCAGACCTCAGCATCGCGAGAAGAAAGATCCTGTCGAGAGCTTTGCAGAAAGTTGCGAGAAAAATTGAAGCTTCCGGCACTCCTATTCCCAGAGTGGTTGTGACACCCGACAAGAATTCTTCTCGGCGGTATCGACGGCACCTCGCCAGGGCTGCTACCAGAGATTTTCAGTCGGAGAGTTTACAACTTCGCCGTATGCAACCTGCATTGAATCCCGAAAATGCAAACAATGCGCTCGTGAGTACCAAGTGGCGTCTGAATCTCGGTCAAGCGCGTTCCCGGAAAAAGCCTAAGCTACCCTTGGACTCTGGCGAGACAAAAGATGGTCGGTTGACCAGCTCTTTGGCTGATCTATACGAGACGCAAATTTCCGTCGCAGATTTGATTACCGCGGGCGATCGTCCAAGTCAGATAGACTTAGCCAGCGTTGCTTCTCCATCCGGAACAGATTAGCTCGATAGTCCCAGCAAACGTAGCTTCAGCAGAGAAGGAGGCCGCGTAGATTTCGACGAAGTGCATCTCAAAAATGTCTCGAGAGATCTAGTAGCAGCTACCGTTTACTAAAAAATAAGAGAACCGCACATCCTCTAATCGTTGCCGAAGGAGACAAAGCTAAGAGTATGTTGGAAACTTACAGACCTCTACATTGCGCGCGCGAAACAAGTAACGTCATAACTGACGTAGAACATAAATGATCGAGGAAATAACGTTGAAATTGTAGGGTAAATAAAGAAAGAAAATTATTTTAAATGTCGCTTACAAGTATAAATAGATGTTAAATACGTTTTTTTCAAGACTTTGACGTAATGATGGGATGACGATTGCGACTGATTACAATCTCACGTCGGCGGTTACATATCAAGATGCAAGAAAGTGACTTGTTTGGAAATTTATTGAGATTCTTGTTATTCGATTTCTTGTAAAACACGCTTTTCTGGGAAAAAGACTTAATGACGTATAAGACAGAATATATCCAGGATATTTCCATCAATTAATTAAACAACTCTTACTTTCTTACATTACAGCATAACATCGTAAACGGCATAAACTAGAAGCTAATAATCATATTTGGGTGGGAATTGTATATAATACGTACATTACATAACATGAAATATTACACGTATATGTGTAAAATTGATAAGTAATTAAAGAATAAACAGTTATCAACAATAGTAGAGATTTGTTTGTGATTTAGTTGTAAATTCGATTAATTGTAACAATAATAAGTTTATCACAATTATCTTCATTAGTTTATATTTCTTAATTATATATGCAACAATAATATACACATTTTTAACATTAATTTTAGATTAGTCTCGTCAGAAAGAATATTATGCAATTGAAGAAATCAAGTACATTTAACACATTTTCTTGGGAGAAAATCGTTATTTTAAAAATAGGAAAATTTGAGAAATTACAAATTGTTTGGTACAGAAGAATTAGATTTGTCAAAGATTCAGTAAGAGATTAAATAAAGTAAGAGAAATAAATTTTATATAATTTATTCACATATTTTACGCTTACATCTGTTTATTAAAATAAATGCGTAAAAAAGTAACTAAAGTTGTTAATATTGGACGGCGATAAACGCTTGAATCGACATAATCGTAGGTTTTGCACCTAGAATACAATCGAACTAATCAAACGGAATTTATAGTTGATTAGTGATTAATTAAATTAATTGAATGATTAGTTTAAATGATTAGAATTAAATGATAGTTTAATATAACAACATGTTAGGCTTAGATTTCTTGCAAGAAGTGATACGTACCTATAAATCACTTAAAAATATTGCGATTGTAATATGTAAATCTTATATATAGTATAATTAGTAGCAAATGTTTGTCGCGTACTCATCAATAAAAAAAAAGACATGATACGGCTTAAATATATATAATTTGTAAGCACATTAAACTTTACAATATATAAAAACAATGATTTCACTTAAAAATCGTTTCCACAGCATCATTCGTTTGATAATAATCTTTTTATAACAATTTCCTTTTTTCATATAGCTAATATATTTATAAGACTTGTTTTACTTTCCAAAATTTAATTGATTGAATTGTCCAAACGACTTTTAAGCAATAGACGCGATACGAATATTACCATACTTATTCGTTATTTAAGCCGACAGTAACAACATTAAAGGTAAATATTTAAGTACGTAGCGCGACGATTAACGTAACGTTACGGTAGTCATATGCGCTTAAAAGAAATTGTAGGAAGAAAAGGAAGAGATATTTTTTCTCACAGAGAATTTTCTCAAAAGCGAATTAACACAAGGTTCCAACGAGAGAAAGATTTCCAATAAAATTGTTTAGCTAAGAACTCAGGACTAAGATAATTGGACGGTTAAGATCATACCTTCCATGAAATCCTCGATTGTAATATATAAATCTTACATAATATAATTATTAGCAAATGCTTATCGCGTACTCAAATAAAAAAAGATACGATACGATTTTTTAAGCGCGTTAAACTTTTCAACATACATATATTGTAAAAATGACGATTTCGCTTAGAATACATAAAACAGCGACTGCAAATTACGAAAGTCGACATTACTTTTTGTTAAAAATTACGCACCTTCTGGGGCAAACCTTTCTGGGGCATATGTGAAATAGAGTAATCTCATACCGCAACGTATTACGATTTTTGCTTCCAATTAGTAAAGGTTTTTTTTCTTTGCTGTCAAATTCGACAATGATCGATTCTGCAGACGCAATATCAAAGTATTAATCGGAACACCGGTGTCAAAATTACGTACCGTACAATAAATTATCACACGTACGGAGACATGTAATCGCGGGGTTTTGATTAATGACGAACCGCCAACCGTGTCCATTCACATATGTATTTGCGAACGCGCGAACGATCGTGATAATCGTTGAAAGTCACCAGCGAGTAGTGCCCTGAAGTATTCCTCGCGTTTCAAATTGTGTGCTTATTTTACTTTCTCTGTAGGAAAAATTGATTTTGCTGAAAAAGTCGGACATCGTCCTAAAGCGTGAAAGGGAGAACACACGATCGCGTCTTAATTGCTTCTGCGGAAAATAGTTATTTATCTGTTGCTTCCTCGGTTTCTGGTTTCGTGTACAAGATTTCGGCGTACTCCGTCTTGTCCTCATTAATTCGGCGCGGTCCGACACCTTGTTGCTGTTGCGTAAGATCCAATTCTGCATAGACTATTCCGCCCTCGCCTGTAGAAGGATTCGTTCTGCCCTGCTCGGCCGGCTCGACGGTCTGCAGCTATATCAATTTTTTTTTCAAATACAATAATCGATGAAGAACCTTGAGGAGATTGTGCATTATTTGTGTGAAGACGTGCAGTTCTATTACAATTGATTATTATTCTGTAAAAAATTAACAAGTGGACTCCATAATAAGTAGTTTTTTACATTGAGGAAAAAAATTAATGTGCCGACTGAATTTCATTTGAAAACACATAATTTTTCTCGAATAAAACGAAAAAAAACAATGGATTAATTTGTGTGAACAAAATCCCTGATAATCTAAACGGCATCGATTACCTTCTCATCGTCGACGGTAACGACAGTCTTCATGGTGTCCGTATCGGCGCCGGACACTTTATCTTTGTTCCTTCCAAAGAATCGGGACAGATTGATCCGCGGTTTCCGTCGTCCTCGGGACGACCCTCCGTCCACTTCCGATCGGGAATATCTGCCGGCGCTCTCTGTGTCACTTCTATGTACATACATACATATATACGTATAATGAAGCGAGAATGGAATTGTCTCTTTTGGGATACGACACATCTCGCCGACATAATCACGCAACAATATTTTTACGACAAAAACAAAACGTTAAGCATTATGCAGCGCTCGTAGTGTTAACTTTTCGATATTAGAGAAGAACACATACTTAATAAGTTCGTTTTACATTCAATAGTTGTTGATATATGATATTGCTGCACGTATGTATTGTAAGTAGTTTTTCTGGTTTAACGAATGATCAAACATATCATTTAGAACGTTTAGTATTATCACATAAATGCATAAATTATACATGATACATACGTAATTAACCTATCTTCAGGTGTCAAGTACGACATTAAATTATTAGATCTTTTTTTAATTTTTGCTCTGCTGTGTCTCGTCTATGCGTGACGTATGAATCTGAGCCCGTAGTTAGAACGACGTTTAAAATTCTTAAAAAGATGTAAGAATCCGCTGTGAAATACTTAAAAATGCGTTGAAAAAAATGCATAACACTGCAAAAGGATCCGTGTTAGATTATAGATTATGTTTCACACACGATGACATGCAGCAAGAATTGTAAATATTAAGCGAAGCTTTTAGAAAGTTTCGCGTAAACGTGGCGAACGGTGTTATAATAGTTACTATTTCTCCGTGGCGCGCATGATGCAATTGATTATCCGATGAAATTTAACGGCGCATTACAAAATTAATTGATTTAGCGTAGCGTTAGTCGTTTGGAGGCATTCAGGGGTTTATACTTCCGAGAGTTACAACATAAGCGCCGCGATTAACACATGACTGTTACATGAATTACAACAAAACAGCACTGGACACAAAGCACGCATATAAATTGGAAGCGGCAAATTTTCCACGTTTGAGATTATTGCAGCGGGGTATCATATAAGCGGCCTTGCTCGGTCGATTATAAATGCAATCATCTACAAAAAATGCGAGGTGATATTCGCATCTCATAAGATAATAAGCAACAATTATACGCTACGCGCTGCACTGGGAATGAGCGGCGTATTTTCTTCCTCTTTTTTTTTCCGTTCTGTTTCCTTGCAAACAAATTATCATATTTGGCACAGGTAAATGTCGCGTAGCAGCAGCCGTCTTCTCTGCGTCTCACTTTTTGTGCACGGTTTCTTTTCATGCTCTTTATAACTACGCGACTTGTGGGGACAAATCTTGTACGTGCACTGAGAGACCCATTTTGTTGAATGAAACGAAATAATTTGATTGAATCATTTTGGTGACTGAACGTGTAATTTGGTTGTGTAAAACAAAAAATATGTTGTTATTATTATTTTCTTACTCGGGGACTCGCGAACTGTGAATTCCCGTCACCGAGAAAAATGTGCAGCGGCAGTAATTAATTATGAATTACGTGTCTCGATGCGCTTTTCGAATTGTTGGGTCGTTAATTATGGAAGTCTCGAGCTCGCGTTTCTCGCGAACAAAAGAATCTTTTATTCCACCGCGGATATCGCGTTTGCTCTTAGATTTTACATTCTCATCTTACGACCTTCACTTGTAATAAGACAGAATTATAAAAGTAAATGTGGGACATGGAATAAAAAGTGCCGTATCGCTAGAATAGGGGAATTGGCTGATTCCGCGTTTTAATTGCCTTATATTTCGCAATAATCTATGTAACGCGATAGCGTACATATGGCACGCAAGGTTTATTCATCAACATTCTACGCTAACTCCGACCTCATTTTTTTGCTCTTTTTTTTATCTCATTGATAAATGCGATACGAGAATCAGGTCATTCGTGTTCAGATCACTTATACTTAGTGCGGCTGTATACGGCATTCAAAGTTACGAGGGATCTGCACAACGATAGATTTTCGACTTTAATTGTATTGTCGAAACCAGGCGATGATTTATTTCCGCAACGTATATTGATAATTGTAATAAAGTTAAGATTAATCTTTTCGTACTTTTTCTTTCAGTTCGCGAGCTAATAAGAGGTTTTAATCTATTGTCACGTAAGATTTATTTTTGTTGGTAACACGTTAAGACGAGGCACGGTTCCCAGTTTGATCAAATTGCGCAGAAAACGGGCGGCGAACAATACTTTGTTGGGCGCTGCCTTTCCGGGCAATTTAATCCAATTCTGTCCGACGAGTAAGAAAAGCGAGCGCGTCGACGGACACATCCGACATTGCGAACGAGTAAAATAAGAAAAGCTGCTGCTTGCCTTTTTCTAACGACATCGGCCGTAGTTTTCGATTTGCCGAGGTGAAGAAGGCTAACGCCCGTCGCTGGGTCCGCGAAGTCTCTGAAAATGTGCATGCTTGGCAAAAGTCTACGGAACGACAATCGTCGAGTGACGGAAAGGCGACGAAGAGATGTTACTGACTTCGTCCCTGAGTCGCGTCACACGGCTAAATTAAATTAAAGCACTACGAAGAATGAAGTATTAGTCATGACGTCGGATGCGTGTAGATATTGTAAGCGAGAGTGCGATAATGTGGACTGAATAACAACATGGCATAATTTTCGGTATACTCACGACTCCCCGAGATTCCTGGTGGACGAATGACCTGAAAGTAATAAGGACAAGTTTTGCTTTAATCTGACAATTCAAGTTCTTTCGTAACAAAAGCAAAATAAATTAGGAGAGAGAGAGAGACAAGATGTATGCTCGCTATAACTTTATCTGATACGAAATAGATTTTAGGCTTCGTTAAAACTTGAATGGATGTTTTTCGAAATTTTTATCTCTTTAGTTAAAACATGTTTTTCAAGAGTAATACTGTCAATAATATTTTAAATTGTACTATGCGTTATTATTCACTGAATGCGATCTATTCCAAAATTAAATATTTTCCTGCAATCATATAACTTTTTATATGATTAAAGAATTCTCTGAAGATGATGTTGTAAAAATGGGAGGGTTTCGTAAGTAATTCGTGAGAAATTTATGTAGGACGTTATGCTTGAAGCGATTAAAGAAGTCGGCATGTTGAAACATTTATCTTCTCTTATCTAGCAAGCAGCATCATCAGTGATGTGACATAACTCTTAGCATATAATCAGTATTACACATATCTGTTTTCCTTTACTTGTAACTGACTGCTACGACCACGTAATCTCAAGTGAGCATATTTTTCAATTAATAATATCGTAAATGCTAACAGATAAGTTTAATGACATGATAGGACGATACATCTCTCAACATTTATATATTTAAAACAAATGTTTTATTTCAAAAATCATACGATATCTAAGTATAATATCATAGCGACGAATGAACTTATAATTAATTATACATACAGCTCTCTATATATTAATTTCATTTGAATCCTTAGATATACTTTTTTTTCTCTGCCTATCGCATTGTATCTACAAGTAGAGATACAAAATGTCATCGTTTCTCGCGCGGTCGCGGGCGTGGCTAGTTCATCTTAATCGCGACTGTGTAACGTCATTTAAACCGGTTTTTGCACGCTTAATTAAAGAGTCAGCGATCTCTGGACTATTCCTGAAACTGATCGCCAACGGCGCCGTTTCGATTGGGCCCTTAATCGGAAATGACGAGATAACGATGTCGCGCAAATGCAATTTCTCGACAACCGCGATTTCGCGCGGCATTTAATTAGCTCCTAAAAAATGCTTCAAAGAGAAGAGAACACCGATTGCAGGTATTTATAATATATCTCGCGATCCGGCGCGAATCGGCGCCGCCATCGCGTTCATCGTCTTACACTCTAGACTTACGTTTTAACATAAATATATCTATATAATATAATATATATAGTATATATATACCCCATTGTATGGCCAACGATCATGCTCCTTAATAACGTATGTCATCTTTTCGATAATATTACGAATTTTACAAATGTTCATTCAACCTCTAGTTGTTACAGGGCAACGAAAACGCGACCGAACGGAAGTAACGTGTATATACTCGTACACCTGCATATCTGTATATACATATAAATGTATGTATATACGTACATACGGGATCGTATATACAGGTCTTCAAAGCATGATCATCGAGATTTAAGTTGTACACATCAAAAGTATCGTTACGTTACAACTAATTAATTATAAGAATTACGCAATAAATGTGTTAATATCAAATGAAACGTATTGAAATTCATCGGGAGATTTGTACGCAAGAGAGTGAGCTCGCGTATGAAATAATTCGCACCTCCTGTCTCCTCTCTTCGCGTCACACCGACGACAAAACCGCGTTTAACGATCGCTCGATCGGAATAAATTGAGACAAACGGCGTAACAAAGTGGAATGAATCGCAGTCTACGACGATACTTGCGTGTCACGCATTTTATAAACACCGATCATTTAGGAAAGCGGGTGGGTGTCTAGCGGTTCAAGTTATCGTTCTTATCGTTTTAATTCATAACTTATGGATTAACAGCGAGTTGTACGCGATATTTTCCCTTATGGCATTTTGTAAGTATGACAAAAAATTCTTTGTGTCAGCTTTTGGCAGTGATCTTTAACATTGTTCTTGTACTCCGGATCTGTTCGAGTTTATCTAATCCCTTCATTGAGACACTTATCCTTGTGGCTAAGTATAGTAACAGCGACAGACTCAAAATGTAGAAATAAAATCAGACCAATTCACAGACGAACTTGGATAAAAGGATAAGTTATTCTTGTCTCGATCGATCAGACTGCAATGAAAGTGAATAAATGAAAAGTTTTCAAGGCGAATTCACCACACTTTCGAAGCTTTGGAACAAATCTGCGGTAAGATCTTTTGCTTCCACTAAAAGAGAAAAAGAATACTCTTTTTACAAATTTTTTTATTTAGTCTCCAATTATACTGTTACCATATGCTTAAGAGTTTATGTGCTGAGAGCGACTTTCAATTAGCAAAAGTTTTCGGACAGACCCGAGAAAGAGTCTCGATAGTCCCGTTCACTCGCGAGTTCTATTCTCCGGTAGTGAGGATCTCGTATACCTAAGCCTAAGACGGAAAATTGAACATTCATCCGTTTTCGATCAGTTCCTCTCCCCACGTAGTTCCTTCTCGGGAACGGGTGACCTCTCGCTTTTACGGAGTAAATTGTAAAACATTTAAAAATCGGGTGTGACCACACGCATTATTTATTATGTATATAAAAAATTCGGATCGCCCTAGTGTGCCGCTCTTGTTCGCGCTCGCTGTACAAGATCGTCGCGATGCGATGGAGGGTACGCGGGACGCCGCGTACCTTCCTCCCTCCATGTCTTTTAGGTAAACGCACGATTTTTCCCCTTTCCCCGGTTTCTTATTTTTCTTTTAGGCTCTATTACATATATTAACATACTGACATTAGTATACATAATATATATTACCGTGATTATACATATATAATGCATAAATTATACACATATATATTTATACTATATATTATATATTATATATACCAACAGATCGATATATTCGGGTTGAAAACTGATGCGAGACAGCCTCTGTGTGACGGCGCGAGCAACGTGCCCCGGCCCTCGCGAGCGGGGCCTCCCCTCTGGGAAGAAAAGGACAGCCATTTTGGGGCCCGCAATTAGTAATCGAACTATCTGGATTGTTCGTAACACTCTACTCTGGGAAAAGTTTTGACCGACTCTTTTGTAGTTAAGCAACTTGACATTTCGGTTTAAGTTAAAGTTATCTTTGCGTTACTGGATATCGACGCACAATTGAAAAATTTGTGTTAAATTTCACAGATGTCACATGTCCCAAATGGCCCACACAAATTTTTGTGTTAATTTAACATAATATGTTAAATAAACACACTAATACTCTGTTAATATTTCGACACAAATCAATGCAAATCTCAAAACAATTTGAAATCAATTTTGTGTAAAATTAACATATTTTTAATGACAAAATGAATTTTAAAAATCACTCTCGGTCGAAATCGCTCTCACTTATGTTATATAGAATAAAATCGACATTTTATTCTGTAAATTTTAACAGATAAATCTCGTTACTAATAATATAGAACATATGTGTTGTGTAAGATTGTGTAAAAAATAAGTAGGTACGCATTGTGTGGCTTTAACATGTCTTTTCAGTTATTTCAATAATTTTACATTTGAGGTCAACTAACGCAAGAGCAATATGTTAAATTAACACACGAATGTGTTAAACATTTAACAGAAAAATTTTAACCGGCGTTTGTTTTACCAAGAATGGTGTTACTTTAAAATCGTGGATATAGATGGAATAGCTAATTGCGAATTTTAATTACGCGGGGTAAAATTCGTAAAAGATCAGAGTCACGAACAATCCGAACAATTCGATTACTAATTGTGGGCCCGAAAATGGGTCGCTGTCTTTTTTTTCCCCCCAGAGCCCGTTGACAATCTAGCCGCGGTCTGTCAGTAGCTCGCAAGTACAACGACCGACGTCAGTCACCGTCCTTCTTACGACACTTTCTTCCCTTCGCTTCCAATATCGGCGGGAAAACGCGGAGGGATGGAAATAGTGGAGGAAACTTTTGCCATACGTACTGCCGAGAGATATAGACGGGGCAGGGAAATAAAGGGACGAACTTACGGCTCGAGCGCAGGGCGGGGGCGGAGAGGCGGAGGGATAAATGCCCTATAACCGAACGCGCGGCATCTCCGTTTTACTGTGCCGCGCGAGGCGCACCCGCACCCCCGGATATAGAACGCGACGCGTAAAAATGACGTCGGTCGTTCCGGTTGCGAAATATTGACGTATTATTTATCGCGCCTCCCCTCACGCCCAACCCCCGCGCGCGTCGTCCTCCTCGAAAAAAGTTTCCCGCCGACCTCACCTCGTTAAGTAAATCTCACATTCTCCGCCCCGATAATATCTTTCACCCTGAAAAAGTTTCACGGATAACGACAGGTCGACTCGGCAATTGGAGTGCAAGCGCGGATAAGTGTGTCGCTCACTCGATCGGCGTTTCACGAGTTGCAAGCCAAGTGCCCCCCCGACGCAGAATATATAATACCGGTTTTTTTTTGTTATTTCGCGATTTATTCTCGTACTGTTATATTTATAATATATATTTATATTTATTTATTTATATATCTTTATTTATATTTATATTTATATATTTATATTTAGAGTATGTACAACACGCAGTAGAGATTCGACCGTCGACCGACGAGCTACACCGGCGTCCTCCCTGAAACCTCGGGCGCGATCAGATCTTTATCGTATTCCGTTTAATAACCGTACCGCGTCTCTGACGAGAATCTCGATGATCCCGTCGGTCTCAGCACGGCTCTTTTTCTTGTAAGTGAAAACACGAATGCATCCGGAAAAAACGGTGGAGGAGCGTACGTGCAGAATTCGGAAATGCATGATCGATGAATGTAACATGAGAGAAAATCCGTCCTTTGGTTCTTACTCGATTCTTTTTACGCGATGCCGACGAGACCTACGTTATTTATCGTGTGCGCGTGTATGTGTGTGTGTGTGTACATGTGTGCGTGTGTGTGTGTGTGGAAATATGGACGAGTATTTAAATGAAAAATTGCACGATCGCGTTTGGTGATTAGCTAAGGAAAAGTATCTGTAAGTCACCTGTACAGAGTACAAGCGACACT